GAAAGTTTGATGGCAAAAAGAAAGGCCATTTGGCCGTTTAGGAAATGACTGCTAAAGTAAAGCAAGTTTTCTTTTTTCTGTCCCCTGAACTCTAATGTATCAAAATAGGTAGGTTTTTCATTTAATACTATTTTAGCAGCAATTTAAATCCTTCCCTCTTCAGTTATTTATTGAAATAGTTTTCCCATCAGCTTCTAACCGTTTCCTTCCTCTCTTAAAACATATCAGCCACGGAGAAAAATAGCCGACGGATGTCAGAAAGCTTTGTATCTCCTTTAGATTGTAGTGACCTCATTGCTGACTTCACAATGCCAAGGGTTCAGCTAACAGTTTTCTGTGTTAGCTGAGCATCCTACTTCAAAGCCTACAATCCTGTGCTACCTAAGTGAGATGATACATTTCAAGGCATTTATTTGTAGAAGGGTGATGCAGTGTTTCAGATTGAAAGGGATAAGGATACTCCAGAGCATGTGCAGCACCTTTTGCTAGCTTCTTAAAGCCAAATGTGTCTTTTCCTGAAACTGCATTGTGGCTGCAGGGAACAACCATTCAATCCCAGGAAATGACAAAATTGCTTTAATCAGTTGCCAACAGATGCAACAAGAATGGCCCATATGCTTCAAATATATTATTTCCTTCAAATCCAAAGAGCTAGCCAGTCTTAATTGGTAATAGTTACCACCTAATGGGTCTTTGCTGCATAAAATCTATAAATGTAGATCTAAAGATATTTTTAAAAAACCAATTTAATTGCAGTGAAATTTGCTAGAGGTAATATTATGGTGAGAAGGGGAAAGCAAGTCTCCCTGCTTAATATGAACAAAGGAGATTAACTGTGATGGATGCCTACATGTGCACAGTGCCTAAAGCTGTTTCATGCTTCCTTTAATAATGTTCAACATGAAAATGTATATGTTAATAAAAGTCATGCAAATGTGTGTAAATTGTATATGCTTATTTAACATGCTTTGTTAACGTCAAGAATCTCTACATGTAAAACAAGCTGCGAAGCACAAATCATTCCTTATGTTGATCACCCAATACAATTCTTGTACTTAAAGAACAAAGCTAAAACAATTTCATCCTAGATATTATTGGATTAAAGTTCCCATAACGCATGACATTTATGTTGATGAAAGAAAATGTAAATTGTAATCTAATATCACTTGGAAATCTAAAATTGAAGGGAAAAAAATCAACAAGTAGCAACTTAAGACTTTTGAGTATGCCTTTATTTTCTGTTTGTGTTTCCCTCTTTTTAACATGGCTGAAAATAAATGAATAGTTAAGAGAAGGCTGCAACATACCATGGATAACTTTAACATTGCAACCCACAGAATGTTTTTACACTATCAGATTCAAAGACTAAAATCCACCTGTTGATAGAATGCTGTACTACTGTAGCAATGATTTCAAATGGATTTTCCCTTTGGCATGTACAGATTGTGGCCAACCCCATCGTGAAATGAGAATGAATCCAAAGGCCATCACTGCACCTCAGATGTTTGGACGCCTTGATGTGGCAACCAATGACTGGACAGATGGGATATTTTCCACTCTTTGGAGGAAAACTTTGAGAGCCAAGAAGGGTACTATATTATAATTGCTAGAGTTATATTTCATAGGAAAAAAACATCCAAAGATCCAGTTATTCCTTTCATTACTCTCATTTGTTATAATATTAATCGAGCCATCCTAGTCTGAAACTAAGGAGGCTCTTGGGAGCATATTATGGATGAAATGGAGAAATTGCAATAGCAGACAGGGTTGAGTTTGGAGCTTTGGCTGTTCCGATGTTACTATAAATATAGTCATATAATTGGTAATGGCTGAGAATACTGAAAATTGTACTTAAAAGCTAACAACAGATCATATAGTTGGGTTATTGTGAGAATGACCTGCTGGAAAGTACACTCTATTCTAGTTGGTTGCTGTATTTATCAGATTATTTAAATATTTTAGATTCCTGAATAGAATGTGCAGATGAGAAATAGAATTCTTAAATTCATGGATAAGCCTCAAGTTTTTGTAGCAAGGCTGGGAAACATTTTCAGCCCCATAGGTCACAAGCAATATGGAATGGCATGGAATGGAATGGAATAGAATAGAATAGAATAGAATAGAATAACAATAGAGCTGGAATGGACCTTGGAGGTCTTCTAGTGCAACCCCCTGCTCAAGCAGGAGACTCTATACCATTTCAGACAAGTGGCTGCCCAGTCTCTTCTTAAAAATCTCCAGTGATGAAGCACCTATAACGTCTGAAGGCAAGTTATTCCACTGGTTAATTGTTCTCACTGTTAAGCAGTTTCTCCTTAATTCCAGGTTGCTTCTCTCCTTGATTAGTTTCCTTCCATTGTTTTTTGTGTTGCCCTCTGGTGCTTTGGAAAATAAGTTGACCCCCTCTTCTTGGGGCAGCCCTAAAACACTGGAATAGTGCTATCATGTTACCCCTAGTTCTTCTTTTCTCTAGACTAGCCAAACTCAAATCCTGCAACTGTTTTTCATATGTTTTAGTCTTCAGGCCTTTAATCATCTTAGTTGCTCTTCTCTGCATTTTCCCCATAGTTTCAATACCTTTATTTTTTCGACTAGCATCCTTAGCCTGCTCACTATGTGTGGATACTTTTTTTCCTCTCAGTCTAGGAAAAAGAGTGCAAAAGAAGTAGTTCTTATCAAAATTGCTGAATGGCAGCTTTGACAGATGGGGAAAGAGAATAGGAGGATGACTTTTTATTGCTTAGGTGTCACCTGTCAAGGGCTTTACATGTAAAATAAAAATGTCAAGTATCTTGTAAGTAATGTTTCCCCAGCATATTACTTGCTTTGAGAAATCTGTTACTATTAAATAAAATCTATTACTGTTAAACAGAATACACATTTTGTGCTTTTCAGAATTGCTGGAGAGAGCCAAAGAAAGAAATGATTTAAATGAAGCTTTTCTGCATTTCACTTCTGCAAGGTTAAGTAGGAACTTGTCTAAGATCATCCACTGATCTTCAGAGCCACTTGAGAAGTTGACTATAAATATCACACAGCAAATTAGTCTGTGTTGTTTCTACTTTTTAATCATATTCATATGTATTCCATGAGGCAGGAAAATGATTGTATCACAAAATACTCTCTTTACAAGAAATGTTTCCCTCCCCCTTTTGGATATAGGGGAACACATCTGGATAGTACTCGATGGTCCTGTTGATGCCATTTGGATTGAAAATCTGAATTCGGTGCTTGATGATAACAAAACATTGACCCTAGCTAATGGAGATCGGATCCCTATGGCGCCCAATTGTAAAATTGTTTTTGAACCTCATAATATTGACAATGCTTCTCCTGCAACAGTGTCAAGGAATGGCATGGTATTTATGAGCTCATCTGTCCTCAACTGGAGCCCTGTTCTGGAGGTATATTTGCTTTCATGAGTTCAAACTCTTTGTATCATGAATCACTTTCGGATTGTTAAAAATTAGTTTATGAATGCAATTATAGAATAGTCTGCAATATGCTCTGGATATACATTTAGCTGTCTAATAAAGCTGTGTATTTACTTCCACAGCCATTATTTTCAATCGTTTAGCTACTAAATACCAATAATGTCAACTACTAACCATCTTAACATTTAACGTTATATAGCCATACTGTTCTAAGTGAAATCATTATCGACTCTGGTACAAGATTCTTCTATAGGAATATGATTACCATATCTACACTTTGGGGACCTCCATGGTTGTGTTACACAACTGACTATTCTTAAGAAGTCTAGTGTGTGTTGTATCTCTCAATTCAAAGAACTGATGGTCAATTTTGAAGTCTTAAAAGGTTTGTGTTTCATATCTTCAGATTTTTAGTCTGATGCCATTGTGTCTTCCTAGAAAGGGACTGTACTAATGAGGTTAGATCAGGCTCTTGAGCTACTGGGAACTCATTTTATCTGTGGTCTGACATTCAATCTGGTTTAATTGTTGTGAAGAGCTTGACAGGATCATCTAACCGACTTCTTCTGAGTTGCTGTCTTCAGATGAAGCTATGTGCCAGGGATGTTGACACTATGATACTATCCTTGAAGTCTACTAAAGAATCGGGGGGGCATGTAAAATATTATCTCATGTTGACTTCCTCCCCACATCAGATGTGTATGGGAAGGGACATCTTTCTGCTCCCTTATGACACAAACACATAATTCCATTTCCTATGTTTTACACATATTTCTGATGTGATTCTATGTAGATATCATCATATAATTGGAGGGCCTTCTGAAAATGAATAACATTCACAACTTCAGTGTGTCTCTAATACTACCTTGCTTCATTTTCCACTGTATTCCTGCATGTGGCTAATATGTAGTCTCATCTCCGCCTTTACCAAATTAGTCTGGGAAAGGTTATAAGATGAGAGGCAGGAATGCTCAACAAACCTGATTTTCCTAGTTGAAAAGGAAATGAATGTAGGCTTTATGAATGTTACCCCATGATTTAAGGAGATATTTTATTTTATTTATTTATTTATTTATTATATTTTTAACCCGCCCTTCTCCTTGCGGACTCAGGGCGGCTAACAGCCTAATAAAAACAAATACAAAAGTACAAAAATACTACCATTAAAACGTAATTAAAAGGAAATATTAATTTGGCCTTTGTTATTTTAAAAATTGTTTTAAAACCCAACTAAAAATACCCCTTAGGCCAGTCCTGCCAGCTTAAATAGCCATGTCTTGAGGGCGCGGCGGAAGGAAGGGAGATCCGGGATCACCCTGATCTCTGGGGGTAGTTCGTTCCATATGTGCCTAAGTTAGTGTTTACCACTAAAGGATTTTAATCAGTGCCAAAATTGTAGGAATTGTCATTAGTGCACACTATGCCCCTCCAACAGGAGACGAGACTGCAAAACTCAGAACAATAGGAGAACATGGCAATCCAATCAGCTAATATGTGGAGGAAGGTCTTAATACACTTTTTTCACCAGCAGATCTGGCTGTTGGGAAAAGAAATAGTTCTGTGTGGTAAAGGAGAGTATTGAATTATTGGGATGAGTAATATGATAAATGACTGAGCAGGAGGACATGGGAAGGTAGGAAAAGAACCTGATAGGGACAACTGCAAATCAATTTGGAAGGTCAAGACATTAAGAAAAGAGAAAAGAGGAGAGATGACTCTCATGGCAAATATGAGGAAATGAGACAGCTAAATGAGTGTAAAGATCAGGCTGCCAAGCAGTAAATTTTTGTAAGGCATTGACAGACATCTAGAATTATGCTTCATCAATCTTAGCCAGCCAAAGGATTGAGTCTCTGACAACTCCATAGGAATTGGTTTCTACCCCGCTCCCCAAAATGAGGGAGAAATTAAAGATAAATTTGCTCATATCCACAGTAGTAGTCTGATGGCATCTGCGACAAAAGTGAAGACTCCAGTAAAAGTTTAAACTTATGTTGGAATTAGTTAACCAACTAGGACAACAGTTGTCCATAGGTTGGTGCATTATGACTAGATGACTGAAATGACCAGAAATTTTTAAAGTTTTCAACTGCCTCTAGGACTTTTTTGACCAGAAAAATAGGATACAAAATCATTATAAGTGAACTCAAGAATAACAATTCAGAAATTCAGTTAGTACTTTAATGGAGCAAGAATGAGAGAAATATCTCTTGTCATACTTTATATTGACTTTGTGGTTTCTAGACAACTTTTTGCTGTTTCTCAAACTTTTGTTCAATTGATTCATTCACTGTGTTCCCGCTTAGATTCACTTGTCGCCCTTGACATTTTTTAGTATTTGATGTTTTTATTCAATGTTTTCCAATATTAAAATGTGCATCTAATATGCTATCCTTCATCGTCATACTATCACCTATCTGAGAAGCAGATAAGATGAAACACTTGCCTCAAGTATAGACAATTATTCTCTTGCCCAAACAAAATGTTTTGGTGAAAAATCTAATTTCTTCCAGAAAATAAAAATTAGAGGATTGAAACTAAACTCTAGTTGATCTGGTAAATTTGGATAATAATTTCAAAAGTCTCATGGTGATTTGTTTTCAATTATAACAGGGTTTTCTGAAGAGGCGTTCTCCACAGGAAGCAGAGATTTTGCGTCAGTTGTACACAACATCTTTTCCAGACCTTTACCGGTTTAGTATTCAGTCCTTGGAATACAAGATTGAGATGTTAGAAGCCTTTGTGATAATGCAGAGCATTAATATGCTTCAGGGCCTTATACCTTGCAAGGTAATCATTTATGTTGTTCAGACAGATGGATAATGATGGTCATGATTCATCTAATGATTGTCACAGGTATTTTCCAGTGACTCAAGTTCTAATCAAAAGCATGGGAATCATGGAAGTATCAGTAAGTAATCAGGTCCAAGCAAGGTAGTTTTTTTAAATATTTTTATTCTTTTCATTTATAGTTGTTTAATAAAGAACCTATTTTCCCCAGAGAGGGGGGTTGCCCTCTGACAAGCCAGATGGATTGCTTAAATGCAATCTCTTCCTGAGCTGCTTTTCTCTGCAGTGCAGAGGTCGCTAACCTTTCCAACTTTGTGGACCGGAAGGGGGGGAAGGGGATAATTCTGCACGAGCGGGCGGCAAGCACTCATGTGCATGTAGCTCCATTTGCGAGAGCGGCGTGAGGATGTGCATGCACGTACGTGTGCTCACCTGCTGTTTCTGTAGCCCAGTTGCAAACAGCTCATGGTCCACTTCCAGCCATCTCCCAGCTGCAGCCTGAAACTGACCAGAAGTTAATCAGTTTCACACTGAAGGCTTTTATTGTGATAAATGTGCTCATTGGTAGGAAAATGAATTTATTACTGTTGCATTTGCAGTTGCTATCCAATGGGGTTGCTAAACAAGAGCTGTCTGTAATTGATATTCTGTATCATGTTTGTTTTTGTGGCCTGTTCTTATCCATGATTGTTTCTTCAATCTCTTTTTTTTTACTTTTCTACCAAGTTTTGCTTTTCATCCAATAGCCAAGACAGTTTGTATCTGATTTTCTTTTAACAATCTCTCTCTCTCTCTCTCTCTTTCTCTCTCTCTCTCTCTCTCTCTCTCTCTCTCTCTCTCTCTCTCTCTCTCTCTCTCTCTCTCTCCACACACACACACACACAAACACAAACACACACACAAAATTAAGAGATTTATATTTCCAGTTGCTTCCTTTTTATAGTGTTGTTTTTATTTTGCAGTCTTCGGTAGTTTTTATTTACAAATTTCTACCAGTAGACATTACTCACTGTGCATCTTAAAATCATTCTTTCAGTGTTTGTTTTACTTGGAACAGATCAATCCCAGTGGCATAATAGAGTTTGTCAACATTGCTTCTTAGGTGAAAAGCATGATTCATGGTCATTAATTTTCTTGTTTCTCTATGAAGTATGTATAATTCAGCTTGTGTCTAATCAATTATACCTGTAATATATTGAATAATTGGAACAGTCCAAGTGTTTATGGCTTTAATTATATTACCACATTTAATTTTCTTCTCAAAAGTTCTTTGATTAATTTTCTATAATTAGAGCTAGTATTTTTCTTAAAGTGGCTCATGTAATATGCCAAGTGTTTCTTTTAATACTTCGTATTCGTATCTTTGTGGCACCAATTTTTGTATTATTATTATTTGAAATTCATCAACTACAGGATGAAAGTGTGTTCATTGATGGCTATGGACTGTAACAGATTTTTTCTGCTGTGGATTTGTAGATGGATGATTTTTGATTTTCCAGTCTAGGGCTGAGAGTAAGTGACTGGCCAAAAGTGACCCATCCAGAATTCCATAACTTAGGAAGGACCAATGCATCATACAGGCTTTTAGATAGACAGCTAACTTAATATGTTTTAACCAACATCATATTCTAAGCAATATCTGGAATGTACCATGGCAATGTATATTAATAAGATGGATTACATGAATAATAATGATGATGATGATGATGATGATGATGATGATGATGATGATGATGAAAGGGACCTTGGAGGTCATCTAGTCCAACCCCCTGGTCAGGCAGAAAAACCCTATACCATTTCAGACAAATGGCTGTCCAGGTCTTCTTAAAAACTTCCAGTGTTGGAGCATTCACGACTTCTGGAGGCACGTTGTTCCACTGATTAATTGTTCTAACTGTCAGGAAATTTCTCCTTAGTTTTAGGTTGCTTCTCTCTTTGGTTAGTTTCGATCCGTTGCTTCTTGTCTTGCCTTCAGGTGCTTTGGAGAACAGCTTGACTCCCTCTTCTTTGTGGCAACCCCTGAGATATTGGAACACTGCTATCATGTCACCCCTAGTCCTTCTCTTCATTAAACTAGACATACCCAGTTGCAGCAACCATTCCTTATATGTTTTAGCCTCCAGTCTCCTAATCATCTTTGTTGCTCTTTTCTGTACTCTTTCTAGAGTCTCAACATCTTTTTTACATC